GCAGGATTGCACATTTCTATGGCTTTGCTATGCGCATATTTGTAGTAAATGTATCTAGGGATAAACACAAGCTTAGATTATTATACTCGCTTTTCTATTATTACAAAGAATAAGATGATTACATTAACGTTGACTTGAGAATTAGAGATCGATCATTCTTTACTTGCTAGTAATCATACTAATGAACTCGATCTCGAAACAACGCAGACTTTATTCATTCAATTCACTTTGCCAGAAACATACAGGATCAATTTTCACGAGTCTATTAAAATTCTGTCTGTTTTTGATTTCTTTATCCGGACACTCATCATCATAACATAGACTATTCACTATCACTGAAAGTGTCTCCGACTCATGCCATGAAAGGTTTTCTTTTTATCAATGTTTTTGAGAAAGACAAGAGCTAATTCTCTTTAGATCAACGTCATAAAAACTAAACAGTTCGTCTGCTTTTGCCAACTGTCGTGCTTATATATTGATTTCCTTGGGATCGCCGAACTTCGCCAATATGACTTTCGCCAATTATTGGCGAGAGTCCATGTGGTATAGTGATGAAAGTTAGCTGGACATTCGTCAGTATTGGCGAATGTATGAGGGACATTCACCAATATTCACGATAATTTACTCGAAAGATTCATTATAATAACAACAGGCGTTGAACCATTCAACTATGAATCAAAAGTTGATGTGTGTTCGGTAAGTCGGCAAGAACATAATAGAAATTGTATTAGAATAGGGAAGAGTCCATATTATATATAAATATAGTCTGCTCTAATAATTGAGAATGTGAGGAAGTTTCGCAGTATTAGCGAATGTCCACCTGACTTTCGCCAATTGGCAGTGTCACGATAATATGGGGTGAACTATCGTTAGCCAAACTGGACGAGCAGCGAGCCGCTGCCCGGCAGTGATGTTTATTCGTTTATTCGCATATCCAGAGTGTAACAACTTCATACATAACACACGTATATATAGGAGAGAGATATAGATTGGAACAATGGAGAGAGAACAGAAAGAGAAGGAAGGAGAATCATTGGAGCGTGCCCTCAATATCGGCACAGGCAGGAGTCCAGGACGCATATTGGCGAATGTCTATATGACTTTCGCCAATGACGAAAGACCGATTGGCGAAAGTCATATTGGCGAACTGCGGGCTACTCACGTATTTGATCAATGTATGCAAAACAGTCGAACTGTAATTAGCATACTGGTGGATGTATTCAAACGTTTAAAAGAACAAGGTATTTTGAGGCAGTTTAATCCATTTTTGAGCCTCGTGTCTTAGGATTCTTTCTATTTTTAGTAATCTAATTTTGTTTTATATTTCATCGATTTTTCTGCATCTATTTAGATCCAAATATAAAATATGCTGATGTACGTGCTGATAATGCAGAATGTTATCATAGCTCTGAAACATTATTATCAAATAAACAAACACTCGAAGGAACTGGAATCTTCATTCGTCGTATTGATTTCAGTGATCCCCAATGTGGAAAACAGCATGTGATAGAATGGCAGCGGTGGTGAAATGCAATGTACGACGTCATATCAATGAAAAACACAACGTTGAAAATAGTAAAGAATTTTTTGATGCAGCTAAGGATACAAAATATTTGCCAATATTTGCGAGTAAAATTGTGCCACAATCAACCACAGTAAAGCCTGTTACATTAAAAAGAAAACCTGAATGGTCAGGTATAACAATGTTCAATAATATTCAATATGAAATTAAATCATCTAAATTTAAAGAACAAATTGAAGGAGCACAGAGTCTATCAACTGATGTAGATGAAATTGAATTGATAGTTTGGAGATCATACAATATAGGAAATGGAAAAAAATTCCTGTTGTCTAATTTGAGTACAGTACAAAATATTGATCAATTAGTTGTGACGTCTGAATCATCTACATCACAAGAAAATTTGATGGAAGAAACTTTAAAAGAAGGTAGTTTTTATTTTTTAGCTTTTCAATTGCCTATTTAATTTCTCAACTTTCTTTCTGATTTTCTGATAAGACACATATGATCACTCTTCATCAGATAGTGATTCGGAAATAGAAGAAGCCAATGATGATAATACATCTGATTTGAAAAAACTTGATCTTGAATTAATGGTTTTTGATTGCCCCGACTCCAATTGTGTTAGACAATTTCGCGATACTCAAACTTGCAAATTCATTTAGAAACTGGCACTCACAAATATCCTCCGAATCGATTAACATTATTGGATAAAGCAAAGGTATATTATCAAGAAAGCTTAGAAAATGATACAATTGAACATGTACGGTCAATCAAAAAATTTCAAATCATAAGTGGTTCAAAAACCGACACAGAAAATACTGTAAAACAAGGATGGACTTTGCTCAATCGAAAACCACGTACGTAACTAAGATAACATAGTGATGGTCAAAACAGACATTGATAGAATTGTATATATTATCTATCTTTTAGAAACACCTTTTACTGATGATCAAGTATCTTATCTTACGGAAAAATACATTGAATGAGAGAAAAGTGGACTCAAGTGGGATCCATCACGGGTAGCTGAACAAATGCAAACGGCGGTTACGAATGGGCAATACCAATTTCAGCCATTCCAATGGCTCACAAGTAGTCAGATAAAATCTTTTGTTAGTCGACTTACTAGAAAACGACGACAACAAAGCCGAAAGAACGAGGATCAACAAGACGAATCTGGTGAAATTTCATGATGTGGACGTGGGTGTCCGTTTCTATCGTATCCAAGCCACACCCCGCACCCTTACACCCACTCATTTGATAAAACTTTTGACTATAGTAATTCATAGTAGGTGAATGATACTTTCTTTAATATCTTTTGAATCACAAGCAATTGATGAGCTTCATTTTAGCATTTATCGAAACGCGTCTTGCTAGCTATTGATTCATTTTATTTCAATCACTTTACAAACACACACCCACACCCGCAATCGTTTTTTAATTATTTGTCGTCTGTATTATAATCGCTCTAAACACATGAGATGCTGAAGATGGTGAAGTTATAGTAATATGGGTTTGAGTTGCAGTTGCTGTTGATTAAATTTTGTTGAAAAGTTGACGGGAAGAGATTTTATTTTGGTCATATATAGTTAGATGTGGAGTTTCCAAATGAGTTGCACTCTAGGGTGAAATTAAGTCTTCGCATTTTTGAAGATAATTTTATGCGAAGCAGTACTATACACGCGGTAAGCCCCACCGAAGGACATATTGTAGTGCGTGCCGATTATATTGTTCACGGTTTCCATTGTATTCCATGGCAGCGTCGGGATGAATAGCGAATTCAAGATCAGGAGTGCTAATCAGCTTCTCTGTGGCTATAATAATTTCAGAAAAAGTCACATGTGGGGTATAATCCCTGTAGCAGTCTGTTAATTTAATACAAACTGTGCCGTTGTTCATGACATTTGGATGGTAGATCGGAGTCAGAAACCTCAAAACGGGAGGTGCGAATGGATACATTTCTGGCAACGTAATGCTGATACGAAATGAACGTTGACAAAACGGTTCTGATGTTGGAAGAATACGACCTTGGATTGACAATGATTGTACCACTTTTGAGTCAGTCAAAGATTCATCGTCATCAGAGAAAGGATCGTAGTCCAAAAGAAAGATACTTGAAGATAATTTTTTCAACTGTTGTACTTCACGACACAAGCGTCTTATTTGCAATGTGTTTTTCGTCTTTGATATTTGAATTGGAGTTATCATGCTTGAATTGAGTTCTAAATGAACAAGCACCTGTTACAATGGTGAGCACTGTTACATCAAAGTACCCCCCCCCCCCCCCCATTAAAAGACGCGGGGGGGGGGGGGGGGGGGGCTTATAATCCGACTTTCTGGTAAAATTTTTCAAAAATCAACTTTTGTATTTCACAGTACTATTTTTTGCAAAAAACCATCTAGTAAACACTTGATTACATGATGCCATAGTCCTGAGCAATGGCGCACACATTGACCACTGCTTCTTTTTTCTTTTTCTTTTGAAGTGGTGCAAATGTGACGCTCCCCACCCTCACCCCTTAGATCGTTTCGAGTGTCTGAAGTTCTGTTACAATAAATGCGTTAGTGACTACGCAAGCAGCTCATAAGTCTATCGATTTTCGTTCAAATACACAAAGAATTCTGTATCGTCGTAGCCGGAATAGCTAAAAGAAGCTTCTTAACTCATTATCAATGGTCTTGAAGTCAGTTCATATGCATAGGAGAAGATAAACTACAATCAATGTAAAACGTTGGTCAGCTAGACCAAGAAATGATTTACTTGTGAATGAATCATGTTGTTATTCACAATCAACAGAGGCACAACAGAAATTTTATATGAAAGCAGATTTACTTGTCGCTCCTAGGCACTTTCTAGTTTTTGAACAGTAAACATCGAAGTCAATTAAAATGCTAGGCTGTTTGTAAAGGACTCAACTACACAGGTTATTTCCTACAAGAAAAACTTGAAAAGAAAGTAGACAAGCTAAAAAAGGCAACCATTTTGATTAAAGCTTAGATAGACTCTTTGGACTCACTGCACCGCTTGTTGTTCTAATCTACCAGTAAGTTGAACGCTCTTTGCTATTCACGGTACAGTCAAATGTGTCTTTGACGATAATATTTCTTTGGAGAAAAAGAACTGAAAGTTGGAATGAGTAGCTCGATCTGCTGTATAATATAGTGATGTAAGTTTTCAGTTGAGAGGCTGAAGCAAATATGTAGAATATTAATCATGTTTTTAACCAGAAAAGGTTTGTGAATCTTAATAGATACAATCATTTGATTGGGCGTCTTCGGACGGAGAGTAATTGAAGTGAAACTCGATGGCGATAAAAAATACGACGACTTCTGGAGCCAAAACGATACGTCAGAATATGGATGTTGTCCAGTTCTCTGTCCGGTTCTCCTCTAACGAATATGAGGGCATCTTCAGATCATCAGACAAAATTAAGGTGAAAACAGCAATTTTGGATTTTTTGACTTCTTTGATCTTTTTGATTTTTCCAGACTTTTTGGACTCTAAAATTCCTGTTTTCCACTTGGGCGAAGCTGAAAAACCTTTGGCAGCGCATCTACGCCGAAAAGTAAAAAAGATCTTCCGAAAAAGTTTTTGGATTTTCGTTCCTGGTCCGATTACAAGACCCGGGTCTTGTAATACGCCCTTCAAACTTTTCGCCAAGGGGGGCTTCTAATGCGGGGGGGGGGGGGGGG